CTTTACCAGAAACACTTTACATATGAATTGCGTGCAAAGAAGGTTAATTGGGTAATATTGTTATTATAGTGAGATTTTTAAGGATTATAGCAACAAGTTTATGATTATTGCATGTTGAACATGTTAACATTCATTATACTATGAAGAATATATTTATATTTCTTGTTTTGGTAAAGACATTTTTTATATACTTATGATTTGAAATTCTTGGATTATTGTACAAACCTAAAATAATAGAACTTATTTTCACAGATATCCTATGTGTTAGCATCTACAGATAAATTATTACATTATGTAACTGATGAAGTTGCAGGAGGTTCATACAAATATTATAATTTAGCTTACGATGGTTTTGTTAGAATAGTGTTAATATCTGAGTAAGTAAGTTATTAAGATGATGTTATATTAATTATTAATTTACATACATATGTTGTTTTTACATATATATATATTTCATAGGGTTGGAGATACAGATTTATATGCTTCGCAAATAATAACAAAACCGACATACGAACCAGATCAATATTGTCTTCAATCTGCTACATGTGGGGATGATGTTATTGTTATTCCTGATAGGTATATTAAATATAATTTTGTATAAACAAATAAATATATAAATTGTAGTAAATATATCTTTTTTCAGCTTTAAAAGACCAGTTAGTATAGGAATATATGGACATCCATCACATGAAAGTAGTAAATATATTCTTTTAGTGTATGAAACAACAGATACAGAAAACATATCATTTAAAAGAAATTTAAATATTCATAATGAGGTATATATTAAAATACAGAAATATCTAAAGTGCATAATACATGCATATTTCATATAAGTAATTGTAAGTATTATTATTTTAGGAACAAAAGCCATCAATCTCATCATCCATTATCTGGTATTTGTTAGATTTTCTTTTTCGTATATTATTTTGATGTGTTGTAATACATTGCATGAGTTTCCTTAATTAATCATGTTGGAGTACGAGAATCAAATATTTTTGGAAATACTCCATGAAGATGGTTTGGTTATTACTGCAAAGTAATTATTGTATTTACTTCTGTATTATATAAAATATATTTCACTTATTTTGTTTCTCAGTTGATTCTGACTTATTTATATTATAACTTTTTAGAGGACTTGGCTTAGAAACTGTATTTGCAAATATATTAAGAGCATACATAGATCCTGGAAATTTAGTTATAGTTTTAGGGACTACAAATCACGATGAACAATATTTTATTGATTTTTTAAAAAGTCAAGGACTCAATCAATTACCCCGTATTGTATCTTCCGAATATACCTCTGATGAAAGGTTTGCATCACAATAGCAACTTTTTGAACCAAAAATCCCGTTTAATATTTTCACTTTGTTATTTTTTAATAATTATAGAGAAGGACTGTATTTGGAAGGTGGTGTGCTATTTATGTCAGGTCGAATTCTTATAGTAGATTTCATAAAAAAAAGAGTTCCATTAAATTTAATTACTGGAATTCTCGTATACAGAGCACATAATATATTAAATTCATATCAAGAAGCATTCGCTCTTCGTTTATATAGGCAACACAATAAAGTAGGTATTTAGAAAGGATATGAGTCCCTGTTACATAATATAAAGTATTATTCTTAATTTAATAAATTTTTGTAGACTGGTTTTATTAAAGCTTTCACTAATTCGGCATTGGCATTTACTGTTGGATTTATGCAAGTAGAACGAGTAATGAAAGCATTATTTGTTAAAAAATTGTTTTTATGGCCGCGTTTTCATACACTTGTAAATAATAGTTTAGAAAAAAATAAGGTAATAATATTATATAGTTATTAATATTAAGATATATCACGAATTTTAGCGTAAAAAGTTCATTAAACAATTTTTTTAGCCAGATGTTATCGAATTACATATAAAAATTACACCAAAAATGTTAAACATTCAAACTTCTTTACTTGATATAATGAATTATATAATAAAAGAACTAAAAAGGCTTAATAAATATGTAGGTATGAAGTCTTAATAATTTATTAGATTATATAAAAGCTAAAATCCGTCTATCTCTTTTTTCTTTTTACTTTTTTACAGTTGGATTTAGATGATTTAACTGTTGAAAATGCAATAGCTAAAAAGTTTCATAAACAATTACAATCACAATTAGATCCTATGTGGCATCAACTTAGTTCTACTTCTAAACAATTATTATCTGATTTAAAAATGTTACGTGATCTTCTCGCGTAAGTATTCAAAAAGCAATGAAACAAATAAAATTTATTTCCTACAGAAAAATATAAAAATTTACAATTTAGATGTTCAACATATGAAGATTGTGTATCGTTTTATGCTATGTTAAATCGCTTACGCACAATGGAATATGCTGTAAAAAATAGTGGCTGGTTAATGTCAGATTCTGTAGATGCTTTATTTAAAAATGCGAAAGACAGAATTTATAACGAAAAAAATGGTAAACTTGTTTGCACAGATTTCTATTTTAAAAAATAATTTACTTTATTGGTTTCGTAATTTGATAATGTACATATCATTTTTATATAGAAATAAAACCTGAAGCTACTCCAAAATGGACAGCATTAACGGAAGTATTACTTGAAATTGAGAATGACAATAAAAAGAACAAAACTAACAAAAATCCTGAAAAGGTTCTTATTTTGGTACATGATCGAAATATTTGTTATCAATTAAGAAATTATTTAACTATGGGTGCCAATAAATATTTACTGTATGAAGCAGTAAAGAAACTTTCTCATAAAGAAATAACAAAAACAACGTATGTAACAAATTAAAAATATAATCTTTTATTTAAAAGCATATATATACTTAAGATATACATTTTATTGCTTCATTTACTTTAATAGTGGAAAGAATGCAGAAGAAAAATCTACATCTGCAGAAAATAATGAACATAGTACAGAGGAAGAACAAGATGCTTATGTATTAACATTATCTCAAAAAGTCAAAGAAGAAAATCAATCTGATTCAACAGCTGAAGATAACAAACAACAGACTTTATTTGAAGATTGCTCACAAGTAAAACTAGAATCTATTGTACTGTGTAATGTATGAAATTAAAAGAATTCTATATGAGCTATTTTTGTAGATTGCTGATCTGGATTTAACTAACATAAATACGAACACACCTATTGTTTTGATACAGTGTTTGAAAAAACACGGTGATCCAATGGCATTGCAACGCGCTTTAACAGAACATACACCAAATAATATCATTATGTACGTAGCGGACATGTCTGCTGTACGACAAATTGAAGTATGTGTGAAATTAATAAAACAACTTTTTCTAATTTATTAATGAAGTATTATTATAACTCAAGTAGATATATTTTTTATATAGGTTTATCAAAATAATAATCCATCGATAGATTTAAAAGTATATTTCTTAATCTATGAGAGCTCAGTGGAAGAACAAGAATACCTTACATCTTTAAGACGAGAAAAAGAAGCATTTCATCTATTGATTAATGCTAAAACTGTATGTTATTGTATTTCAAATGAATCTTTACATATATATGAATTATAACAAAGTATATTTTTATGTCAGACAATGGTTATTCCTGAAGACCAAGACGGAAAATCTGATGATTGTTTAAATCTTGCAATACAATCGAATGCAGATGGTGAATTGAGTACACGTAAAGGTGGTTTATCGAAAATATCTGAAATTCCTAATACTGTCATAGTTGACATGAGAGAATTCAGAAGTGAACTACCTGCTATACTTTATACACGAGGCATGAAAGTTGAACCTATAACATTACAGGTATAAAGGAATTAAAAAATTTTAAATGATTTAAAGGCAGAAGGTATTTATATTATAATTATGTTTATAGGTGGGAGATTACATTTTATCACCAGATATTTGCGTTGAAAGGAAGAGTATTTCTGATTTAATTGGTTCTTTAAATAGTGGGAGATTATACAATCAAGCTATTGCTATGACAAGACATTATAGCAAACCAATGCTTCTAATAGAATTTGATCCAAATAAACCATTCTGTTTTCAAGTACATATATATGTTTTATATATACTGCAAAGTTACTAGCAGTTACTTAAATTTTTAAATTCATTAAAAGGCAAAATTCTTAATTATAGGGATATTATTATGCTAGCAAGGATGTTCAAAATATGTTTATCACTTCAAAACTTCAACTTTTAACTTTACATTTTCCTCGTTTGAAACTTGTATGGTCACCTGGACCTCATGCAACAGCACAATTATTTGAAGAACTGAAGGTAATAAAATAAAATTATAATTTATAAGAGTTTATAGACTCAAAATACATAAAAGTAGTAGTATGCTAAATTGATACCATTCATATTACTAATTTATCATATATAAATTTATAGCAAGGAAAAGATCAACCAAATGCAGAGAAAGTTGCGCAAGTTGGAATTGAAGAAAACAAAGAAATATTAGCAGAGAAATATAATCCTCGTATTCAAGATTTTGTTTCAAAATTACCTGGGGTTACTTCCAAAAATTTACATTTAATATTAGGTAAAGGACAATCACTAGATCATCTTAATAAACTTACAAAGGTAAGTGCTGTAATTTAAATTTTGTTAAGATAAGGTATTGGATTTTCGAATAATATAAAGAATAGTACATTTGAATAATGCTATTTTCCTTTTAGGAAGAACTTATTGAAATGATTGAAAATAAAACCGAAGCAGAAATGTTATATAGTGCATTTCATGAAAAACTTTCTTCAGCTGAAGAAAAATCAAGCACAAATAGTAAAAAACTTGCATCCAAAGGTCGAGGAAAAAAACTGTTTACTAAAATCAAACAGTAATATTTTAAATACTTTACTTTTAATATGTTGTTTTCTAAAATGCTGGTTGTTTACATTATTTTTATGTTATGTTTAAATAAAATTTAAGATTTGTGGATACTGTATTGTAACTTGTGTGATATGAAAAGAGTTGTGTGTGTATAAATTTCAAAAAAAAAAAAATAATAAAAAGTGAGGCATTTCTATCTATCAAAATTATAATTTTCTTCATTACATTCTTATTATTCTTGCATTTCAACAGTTTTTAATAAACACAATATAGCTTTATTTAATATTTCTTCTATTAGTGACATACAACCTTCTGAGACTAATATATTATTGACATGTTTTAGTTCAAATATCCTGTAATTATAAAATTCCATAAAAGATAATAATAAAATAATTCCATAAAAGATATTTCTTCTTTAATAAAAAGTTAAATGGCATACTTTGCAATTTTCGCAGTTCCACATTCCTGAGAAATTATAGATTTCTTTGCAGCCTTTTTAATAGTTTTTAATACTATTTCATGTGCAATTTCTAATATTTTATGTATTGTTGCATGAGTATTAAATGAAATATGTTGTAGACAAAACTATATAAATTATGTATATATGATATGAGATTTACAAATATTAAGTTGTAATTAGTAAACTGAAATTTTAACATTTAACTTACTTCATTATGCTCATGATGAAAAATGTATGCTAAAATAATTTTAGAAACTTCTGAGATAAATCTCATTTTTTTTTGTTCAGTCATTATATCTGGTTGAAAATTTAACAATAAATCGTGAAGTTTAGCAGTTATCGTATTATATTCTGCCATACCAATTAGATGAATTTTTTCACAAAAACGCATATCCATTCCTATAAAAAATCATACAATTTCTACTGAGTATTTATGTTTACAAAGGAAATACATATGTATATATAGTAATACTAGTACTCCATAGAACTCTTTATCTTTAAACACCTGGTTCATAGTCACTTGAAAGACAATAGAGACCATTTAAATACCGTTTAGCCAACAAAAGCGATTCAGTATCGCGAATGTCTATACTATCCACAATATTATCAAGCCATGGTGTAATAGAGTAAAAATCAAATGCAGTATCAGTGATTCTTACATCTTCTCCTTCTATACTTGCTGGTGGTTGATGTTTCTGAAATAAGGGCAATAGGAAATTAGTGTACAATACAATATAAATATATTTATAAATATAACTGGTTTCAATTATACAAACAAGGAAGATCCTTGATTCTGCCTCCAACTTAAGTTCATTATTAAAGCTATATTCTCCACATTGTGAAATTACAATTTTTTTAAGTGGATGTTCATAATATGTTGAAATATCTTCTAATATTTTTAAAGTTTTAGCACCATCTATAAGTTGTCTTTGTACAAGTTTTAAATGTTTATTTTATTCTGCTTTAATCATATAAAAATACTTAAGATTAATACATTTAACTCACCCAAAAGCAACATAAAAATGATTCATCCAAGGATTTGGTTTTAAACATACAACAAATTGTGATCCATTACAATGTTTGCCATCATTTGTCATTGAAAGAACTCCTCGACGATCATGAGGAACACAATAAGATTCATCAGGTATTGTAACATCAGCAGCATTATTTTTATCCGATTGAAATGGTTCAAATCCTACAAGAAGCAAATATTTAGAATAAAGCTGACAGTAGGTAATACTTGAAAAATACTCAAAGTACTAAACCAAAGACTAATTGATATAACATTGAATTATACCTCCTATACCTCCACATTGGAGCCATCCATCTTTAACTATACGATGCAAACATGTATTTATATAATAAGCATCTTTGTAACATTCTTTTACTTCATCATATCCAGTGCAAAGATTTAAAAAATATTGACAAGTTAATGGCAACAAATCAGAATATAGCTAAATTAATATAACATTTAATATAAAAGTTTTGTAAGATTGTTATGCTTTTTAAATTATGTGCAAATTCTTACCATAAACACGAATGAACCAATAGGTGTATCATCTATAGAAAATGTGAAATAAACATATTTTCTCTAAAGTTTAACAATGTCATATTAGTGCACAATTTATATTATTAGATTACTATATACAAAAAGAAATAAAATCATTTATACAACAAAGAATAATTTACCTTAGATTTTTCCATAAATTTTTTGCAATGTTCTGCAGCAAGATCTTCATAATATTCTACACCAACAGGTAAGCTAAAAATATAATCTTGACTTATATAGTGCAAGAATTGTATATCATTACCAAGGAATTTATTATTTATAAAAATAGCAACAGTTTGTGTTAATGACCACATTTCACCTCCAATTTGCTAGAAAGATATAATTATAATTTATAATTGATATACTAATATTATAACGTACTTTAACAAGTGGACTAATGGCAGTTTATTACTCTTTTCATTTTAAGTATGTATTCATGCCACTCAATTTGAAACATTTCTATAATTTGTGGCATGCAAAACTTAAATGCCAAATGTTGATATAATTTCTCTGCATATAATCGTGCCTTCTGAAAAGCAATAGTATTTATAATACCTATTACTTTAATTTGAATGCAATCATTTCTACAAGAGTTTAAATAAAATTTGTCAGATAATTCTCTTTTGACTTTATTTTGCATAATTGCAAAGTTAATTTTAATTTTCCTTAAGTAAGTTATTTAACATAGTAATTGAACCTAAGTGATAAAGGTGTATAAATAATGAATAAATCTAATTTGTAATTTAAGTTCTGTTGTGGCCACTGTGTCATTACAATGAAAATAGATTGCTACAACAACATTTCCCAACTGAAGTTGTACAAGATTAGCGAGAAAAAATGAAGACTACATTTGAACCTAGTGAGAGAAGTTTATTTTATCATTTGCGACGGTATACTTGTAATTATTATTTATAAACTCAATCCATTTATTGTTGTGTTTGATTTATTACAAAAGGACATAAAATATTCATATACTCAACTAACATTACTATCAAATTCATCCTAATGTGAATAATAAAATATATCTTTTTATATTTTTCAGAAAGTCTTTATTATTTAAGTGTTTCATACATTGTCTCTGTAGCATTTTCAATATCACTTTCTTCATCACTAGTACTACTTGTATCCAAATTATATAAAAAGGATTCATTTTCATTCATAGGAAAATAATACCTGAAATTTTGTGTTATTAATATGTAAAAATTTTAATTAATCTAATAAATTATGATTTCATATTATGTAAAGTACTAACTCTGGTTGATCCCACACTTTTTGTGAAGGTATCTTAAAATGATTTTCTTCCTTCATGTGTTCCAAAACAGTATCCACTTTCATTTCACAAAAGACACATTGTTTTAAATGAATTTGTCTTCTGACATAATTAACTACTTTTACCTGTTTTAAAATAATAATTTAACAATTTAAATTTTTACACCTTATTTAATTTAATCTTATTTGTTTAATCTTACTTTTTGATAAAATGTTAAATCTTTTGATGCAATTTTAAAATCAAAATCATGTTCTGCTTTCATATGTGTAAGAATACGATGGAAATGCTTATCACTGTAAGTACAGAACAAACAAGATATTCCAATGCCTTCATCATTCCAATCTGACCAGGTATCTTCATCCTCATTTTCACTGCTTTGATCTCCTACCACATCATTTTCAGTGTGAGTATTCTAGATACAGAGAAAATTATGCATTTATGTATTTACATCTTTTATGAACAAAACTGTTATTAAAGGATTTATCAAAATACCTGTTTATGTCTCCATGATTTTCCAGGTTCCAAGTAATTATTTATATAAAATTTATCATACTCTTTATTATTTGGATTTATCCTTTTGTGTAACTTCTTACGCATATGTTCCTTTAAAGCTGTACGATCTTTAAACAATTTTTCACAATATATGCATATCAAACTGAAAGAAAAATATTTGATATCAAAGCAATATCTATTTAATTAATATATGTTTGTATATCTCACTTTTCAATAGCTGCTTGAATTTTATCTAAAAATTCATCTATGAATACCAAATTATCTGGTTTCCCAAGGTATAAATTATGTTTTTGGGCTAAGTGCTTTATATACGTAATACGTAAACCTGAAAATTCTGTTCTACAAAACATGCAACCACGATTAAAGTTTATATCTTTCCTTTCTCTTGCTTGTTCTGATAAAACCCATTCCTTAAAACAATGAAAACTCATATGTTGTAATATTTTATGTATGTATATAAAAGTTTTATAGACTAATAATGTACCAGTTTAGCTTGATGTATTTCATGTCTTAAAGTTTTATCTTCTGAAATACAATCAGAAAGTAGATAATATTTTTCATTTTTACTTGGTTCTCCATCAGGGGTGCAATCCATTAACATTGTTGTACAGAATTTAGTTAAAGGCTCTTCCTTAAATTTCACACTCCAATAATGTATATAGCTAAAAATAATACCAATTTTTTATTTTATGAATATTTAATTTTTAATTACAATAAAATATATTATTTCAAATAAATCAATAGTAAACCTTTTTAAACTAGCAATATTCCAAACATCTCCTATTACAAGACGATGTTTTTCAAATAAATGAGACAACAATTCTTTTTCATTTTTTGGAAGAACGAATTTTTCATCGCACAAAACACATTTTGTATTGTAAGGTTTATCATCAAGTCCAACAAATTGAGATTTAAATACAGTATCATCTTCATTATAAACACTGTTTATAGGTAACAAATCTTTATATTTTTCTACAACATAATATTATACAATATATACTACAAAATTTGCAAAATATTTATAAAATTAAGTAAGATGTAAATATATAAAATATATACCTGTCGAATTCATAGCTGTTCTACTTTTAATATCTTTTAAATCAATATATAATTTATAAGATTTAAATTTATTTCAGAAATTTCTTTCATACAATAGGTTAAATATTATTTATTTTATATAATATATGATACATGACACATATCCATGAAAGTAAGAATATGATTTATATTTCTTTAAAGTTTGTAGATAAATTTAATATCCTGATAAATTAATTGTACATACAAAGGTATGGAGGAATATTACTATTTGTTACTGAACAGTACTTTGCCCTGTCAAAGAACTCATGTTTCTGTTGTTCAGTCAAAATGAGAAGTTTCTATTGGATAAAATTAGAATGTTCTTTTTCAGTGTAACATTTAAATACAAAATAAACAACAAAGTACTGCGAGATAAATGCTTTGACTGTAGAAATCTGAATATTTATGATTAATTTTAATAATGTGTCAAGTATAAAGAAATATAACTATTAAGTCATGGTTTTAGTATTTTTACTTATAGATATGTATATTTATATTTTTGAAATTAACAATTACAATATTTGCATATTTTGTACGAGAATTTAATTTTATTTAAAATATAATATTAGTCATATTTTTACCAAAAAAACAAAAACAAAAATAATTCTTTAAATGTTATGGATATGGGTATTTCTTACAAACTGATATATCTAATCAAATCCAAAATGAGATGAATATACAGGAAGGTAAAAAAGGAAAAGTAGACATATATATTATACAAAAATCATTTATTATTTATTTTCCTTTCTCAGTTTTAGATTTATGTTTCATAAAACCAAATAACAACATCAAATGACATATATGTAATGAAATGCTGCTAAACACGGTGCTTGGATAAGTGTTCCAGCATAATTCTATTATGCCCAAAATTGTTAATTTTATTACAGTCTTATAGTCTGTACACCATGCAATATAGGGCAATGTATGATAATACCATATGTAAAATTGATAATGCAATGATCTACTAAAAGTCACACCAATAAAATTTGCAGCAAACATTGGAAAAATAAATAATTGACTCATCGTAGACATATCTACTTTCTCTTTCTTTTTTAGTTGAGGTTGCAAGCTTTTTTCCATATACTTCAATTTTGCATACGATTTCATATATTTTATCCATGTTGATGCACAGTAAATTAAAGTTAATATATGCAACACTAACAATGATACATGAAAATATGAATGGACAAAAATATGTTCTGGTAGAAACCTCCAATTTACTGTCCATTTAAACTCAAAAATCCTTCCAAGATTAAAAGCACCTTTTATATATGCAAATGGATTATTAAGTAAAAAAGGAAGACCTAATACTAACTGAATTAAGGCACATATAAGTAAGTGTATTATTGTCTTGAATATTCCTAAATTACATATGTAAGCTATGAGAAGTGCTGGTGCAAATAGCAAAATATTCATTTTTACAGACACAGACATACTATAAAAAATACTGCCTAAATACCATTGGTCATCTAGAAATGCATTCAGACTAGCAAATAACAACACCATTGCAACTGGATCATTAAAAAGTCTTAAGATAAATATAGAATGAACTCTATAAGATGTACAACACATAATGATCAAAACATACGGAGGAACTTTTTTAGTTTTCGTATAAATTCGAAAAACTAATATGAGTAGCACAATATAAAGAACTGCAAAGAAATACTGTGCTATTTTTATCTTTGTTCCATGTTCCGTGATGAAGTACAATATAGAAAATATATAAACAAATCCTGCAGGGTAGACTAATGGTCCAGTGTCACCTTTCAATTTCGAGTAATCCAACGTTCCATTCAAAAAGCCCTCGACTTCTTGCATATATGCTTTCCAGTCGATTTCTGTATATGGTATCCTTTCGATAATCAATATGTTCAGAATGATTTCCAAAATGATAAACAGTCTTCCAAATAAAAACAATTTTCTGGGATCTGTGAATAAGGAACTTAATTTTCCCCATTCTAAGTAATTTTCATACCAATTCTTGGTATTTTTCTTCGATACTTTTGTCGAATTGAGGTTAGATCGAAATTCTCTGCGCGGCGCCATATTGTTACAAGTAAGTAGCACACGTGTTCTTTTAAGTTCGCTTCTCTGTATGGGAATTTTTTTTATCTTTTTATGAATTCGTATCAACCAATCACAAAGCGTAATGTTAAATGTGAGTCAGAGGATGTTAGAGCCAATCAGAATGCGCCAGCTGGGATTCCGGGCTTTTGACAGAATCCAACGTGTATAAAGTATAAAGTGAAGCGTGGATAAAACTTATGTAGTTGTATTAAAAGTTTTGTTGCAATAGCAAGTGAATGAATTAAAAGTTTTAGAGTGTTTGTGTTATAACTTAGTAAGGATATTTTCCACGTAATACACGAATTACTTTATCGGCACAACAATATGTAAGTTGTGTTCCATTATCATTTATGTTAACCTTGTAAACATAAATGTACTCACTGTTTTATTAATTTTTGTTATCCTTTTTTTTTTCTAAATTTTCATTAATATCTTATTTCTATTTAAGAAACGTAAGTTTCTAGTGTAATTTGTATTTATGATATCTTTTAAGAGGTAATATAATTAGAAGTTTAACAAAAACATAATATTAGTATATTTATCCATCTTTAATATACGTATGTATATTTAATGTATGTAATTTAAATATATTCAATTTATTTGTTTTTAAGAAGTTTTTTTTATTCGATTATTAATCTTTATATAAACCTCCAAAATTTTTTGTTTTGTTAATTTATGTAATATAATATAGTTTCTTAAAAATAAAGAGCATAAAATTAAAAAATTATTGCAGAAAATATATTCAAAATGAATAGTTCAGTATTATTAACTTTCTTTATTATTCTTGGATTGGTATATACTGTCACAGCTTTGAAAAATGATGAATGT